CATAGATAATCATGGAATTCAGTTCCAGTAATATAAAAAATAAACCACATATAATGAAGAATTATTCAAGTAGGTAATATGTTCAGCAAAATGTTCTTCTCTAGATTAACTTTTAGACATGTTTGGCTTATTTAGTGGAAGGGTAGGTTTTCAAGGCAATGGGAAGAAAATAAGATATTTCAGAAGGCAGAAACTTACCTGCAACCAATAAAATATGTCAGACCTCAAAACTTCAGGAAAAACAAGGTCTTACATCAGCCTGCTAGTGAAAGTAAAGGTTACCAATGCCACCATTTTACCTCAAAAGAAAACCTTTGCTCAGGATAGTTGGGATGGAGAGGACAGGTATTCAAAAGAAAATTAAATCAATTTTGCATTAACCAATTAAATAAACTACAGAAGTATAATTTGTAGAAGGACTATGAAATACCCGTTAGAAGGCATTTCAGAATATATATTTATATAACCTTTCAAGAAAAAGCTATGGAAATGTGGCATGGTTCTGTTGTGAATTCTCTTGCATTGTTTTGTGCTCCTGCTTCTCTCAATGCCTGCTTATTATTTAACTGCTAAGAAGAGTGAGCTGTGACATGGATTGATGTATCCTTTTCATCTATTCCACAAGTATTTTGCAGTCTACTATGTGCCAGACACTGTTCCAGATACTAGAAGACAGTGATAAATTAAACAAATGTAATGCACTCACGAACATACATTCTAAAGAATCAAGTAAAATAATAATAATAATAATAGCATTTCAGTTGTTTTTATTATTATTATTATTATTATTATTAGTGGTGGTGGTGGTGGTGATATTAACAGTAGTAGAAGTAGTAGTAGATTTATGGAACTCATGGCTAGGGGAGTGGCAGGAAATGACCTCATCTCCTACTATACTCATTATTACTCATTCTGATTTAGCCACACTGGCTTACTTATTGTTTCCTGACCATATCAAGCACACATTCCTGCTTTAGGGCCTTTGCATTGGCTATCCCCTCTCCTTCAAACACTGTTCCCCCCAGGGATCGTCTCTCATCTGTTTTTTACACCACCTTTTCAATGAGGGTTATCCTGGTCACCCTATCTTAAATAGTAACTCTTACACCTTCATCCCCCAATGCCAAATCCCCTTATCTTGTTCCACTTCTTTTATCCCATAGCACTTATCACCTCTAATGTATTCTATTTCTTCTTTTTATGTTTTATCTGTCTCCTCCTAGGAGAATAGAAGCTCTGTAAGGTCAGAGATCTGTGAATTGTTTGTTGGATTATTCCAAACCCCAAAACAGAACCCGATACAGAATAGACACTCGAAAAATATTTATTCAATGAGATGAGGTCAGGGAGAATTTGAGGAAAAGATGTGGCATGAGGTGGTTTAAGTTTTAACAGAGACATTGGCTGCTGTGTGAAGAATAGTTTGAGGGAGTTGTTGGGGTGCAGCTGAAGGAGGGACCCCACTGAGGAAGCACTGTATTATCGTTGACAGGTGAAACCATGTGATGTGAGTGGTAGTGGCAGAGGAGGGGAGACATGGCAAGATATATCCCCTACGAAAGTTATATTTCCTAATAAAATTATAATCAAATCTGTGGGTAAATAATACTAAGGTTTTATGGTTCCCTCAGTAAATGGTGAATGTCAATAAGCACCTCAGACACAGTGTAAGTAACAGAGCCTTTAACAGATACCACTTCCACAGATGTAAAGTTATTTTCGTTCTTTACTAATTTTAAATTAAAATATTTTTGAAAACTTAAAAATATTGACAATGCGTTTGTCTTTTCCATGAATAATCTGTGTGTGAGAGAGATAAAAGCATGTCTTTCAAGAATAAACATAAAGCACATCAATTTTTCAATGTGGTTTTGATGTTTTTTTACTGCATTTGAAATAGACTGAATTTTGGGCGCCTGGGTGACTCAGTCGGTTACAAATCCGACTCTTGACTTCGGCTCAGGTCATGATCTCAGGGTCCTGGGATTGACCTCTGCATCAGACTCCCCACTCAGTGGGGAGACTGCTTGTTTCCCTCTCCCTCTGCTCGTGCTGTCTCAAATAAATAAATAAATCTTTAAAAAAAAATAGACTGATTTTTTTTAAAGTATGATCCTATTGTTAAAATAACCATCCTATAATAATGTGCATCTCTTAAAAAAATACTAGGAGTGTTTAGATTGATTTCATTGATAAAGCCCAGCAACATTGCCCCATTGGAAGGTGGCTTTCTGAACCTGAGCCAATAACCCAGCAGTAAACAAGAACAACTTCTCAATAACAAACATGACATCTCAAAGGTCACCAGAATCCTGTGTATATTCACAGAACAGCTTCCTTAGGAGCTGGGGTCCTGGGATTGAGCCCCAGGTCAGACTCCCTACTCAGCCGGGAGTCTGCTTCTCCCTCTCCCTCTCCTTCTGCCCCATACAAAGGTATGTGTATGTGTGTATGAATATGTATATTCAAAAGCTAAACTATTTAAAGCCCTAGCATTCTAGAATCGTGTTGCCTCAACCATTCTATGGCTTCTTGAAGTACTACTGAGTAACTGCACAGGACGCTAATCCAGGTTGTTAACTAAGATCGGGACATTTTAAAAAGATTCAGTTTTATTCAGTATACCTAGTTTTGAAAGACAATGGAGTGTCAAATACATTTTAGAAAGATTTGTTTGAAAAATAATTGAACTTTAAATGGTCTTAGAATTGGGGAAGTTCAAACTTCAATTATGTGAACCTTTATTAATTTTACTACCTTACTGCTTAAAGATGCCTGATAAATGTATTTTTCAGGGTGAAACTTTTAGAGTTAAAACTACATACTCTAGAGGCGCCTGGGTGGCTCAGTCGTTAAGCGTCTGCCTTCAGCTCAGGTCATGATCCCAGGGTCCTGGAATCGAGCCCCACATCGGGCTCCCTGCTCGGCGGGAAGCCTGCTTCTCCCTCTCCCACTCCCCCTGCTTGTGTTCCCTCTCTCGCTGTGTCTCTCTCTGTCAAATAAATAAATAAAATCTTCAAAAACAAAAACTACGTACTCTAACAAAAGGTGAACTCTGAATACTGTTGGCAATTGTGTTTACTAACATGCTAATTTAAAAACAGAAAATATCTGTCCACTGCTTACTGCTTCTTACATGCAAAAAAAAAAAATGCATTCTCAAGAGAGTGAACAGTGACAGACTCTGAAAATTGTAGATAAAACCATGAGTACACTCACTGTGGGAAGTATTATAGGGTCAGTGGCCTTGCTACTTTAGGCACTGCAAATATTTGGCTTCAATTCAGACTCACACTCTGTAATTAGAAAGAACATTGCTACTTCATTCTCCAGCCAAGCCACATATGTTTGCGGTCTGTTTTATGAGGTTCTCATTGCAATTTGCGCCATGATCTCTCACAGTCTCATAAGACACTGTGGTAGGGGTGATATACTTCTGTCGATCCTACAGTGGCAACAGAGGACAGACTGATCACAACTTCCAACTAACTAGTTCTATTTCTTCAAGGAGTATCTTAAGCCTACTATATACAGGGAATTTTCATAAAAATAAAAATACTCTAATAATAGATATTTTAAAACTATAGAATATGATAGACAATGAATCTCTAGGAGGCGGAGCAAGATGGCGGAGGAGTAGGAGACCTGGATTTCGTCTGGTCTCAGGAATTCAGCTGGATGGGGACATTGAATCTCTAGTGAGGGTCGGTGGGATCCCAGGAAGACCGCCGAAGGTCTTCAGAGGGCTCATTAGCCTGCTGAAATTATCTGCCAAAATGTTTGTATATACATTTTACCAGGGAGAAAATTCCAAGCTTTCATTCCATTTTCAAAGTGTCTGTGACACCCCTTTCCAAAAGAATATTTTTAAGAAGGTTAAAAGCCGCTGTTTTCAATACACCCATGGGAAAATGTTGAGCATGTGTCCCACTGGTTTTAAGGACAGTGGAGCCCACGCATTACGCAGTTCCCCTTCTGTCACTGGCTTCCAGTCAAATCGTATCTGGATGGCCCGGCCTTAAATTTAAGTTGAGGACAATGGATAAATCACAGGCTTTGGAAACAGACTGCTTGGGCTCAAGTCCTGACTTGGTCATTAACTAGCTAAGTGAGCTTGGTGAAATCTGCTGAGCGTTCAGAGCCTCAGTTTCCTTATTTGAAAAATGGGAACAATCATAGTATCTGCCTCATAGGGATGAAATAAGGGTTGAGAAGATCATGCAAGTAAAGTGTTTCACATGGTTCCAGACCCTACCTCTGACTGTACTATTTCATCAGTGTCACCTTTGATGAGCTTTAATGAGTCACTAATAAAATCCATAATTTTAAATATCTGGGCTTTTTTTTTAAAGATTTTATATCTTTATTTAGAGAGAGCATGTGTGTGCACACGAGTGGGGGAAGGGCAGAAGGAGAGAATCTCAAGCAGACTCCCCACTGAACATGAGCCCCAGACAGGGCTCGATCTCACAACCCTGAGATCATGACCCGCGTGGAAATCAGGAGTCGGATGCTTAACCAACTGAGCCATCCAGGCACCCCTTACATACCTGTTTTTTTTTGATAATACAAATTACCAGCTAGTGATGTTTTCATTACAGTTAAAAATCACCATGTTTTCAACTCACTGTTGTTGTTTACCAATATTCAAATTTTAGACACCTGTTTTGTGATACTTTATATCCAAATTCATTGTTTTGCTAAAAATGTTATATGTAAGCATTTTCACATTGTGATGTCTTTTGTTTGTTTTAACCCTGTAACTAAAGGAACAAATCTAACTTTTTGATTAATGCACCATTAAAATATTATACCAGTTTTTAGGCCACCATATGAATTGAAAAAGTACCTGAACAAACATAAATAAATGCATTGGGTTTATATGCCAAGAAATGTAAAGCCCTATAGTTGTCTGGGCTATTTCTCTTTCTGTACAAGGATAAAAACTATAAGGAAATTAACAAATTTGTTTGAAATGTTGCTCTTTTTTTTTCCCACAGCTCTTGTAGTGAGATTCCTGACCAAACGGTTCATCTGGGAATATGATCCCACTCTTGGTAGGTCAGATTTTGTTTCCTCCTCCTTTCCAGTCAGAGTTTATGACCCAAAAGAGACAATGACATTTTCTGTTGCAACACTTTGAAGCACCTACCAGCTGTTTGGGGAGTGCCTTATCAAATCATACGAAGAAGTTCCTAAAGAAGCTGGACATGGGGCGCCTGGGTGGCTCAGTTGGTTAAGCGACTGCCTTCGGTTCAGGTCACGATCCTGGAGTCCCGGGATCGAGTCCCGCATCGGGCTCCCTGCTCAGCGGGGAGTCTGCTTCTCCCTCTCCCGCTCCCCCCTCTTGTGCTCTTTCTCTCTCTCTCTCTCTCTCTCAAATAAATAAATAAAATCTTAAAAAAAAAAAAAAAAAAAGAAGCTGGACATGTTCTCAGGCTGTCTTGTGCTTAGAACCATGCAGGAGTTTCATGCATAGGAGAAGAAATCAGGTTAAACCAGAGCCAAGAAGGAAGTGGGCACAACACGATGCCCTCGCATCAGGAAATATAGCATCATTCTGGTGGAAGAAGGAGGACACAGTGGCCCAGGCTAACCTGGTGTGGAAGAGACTAGCATGCTGAGGGGAATATTCCAAGAAAATCAACCTTCCAAATACTGATTTGGGGAAAACATAAGAATAAACTATATTTCTCTCCAATGAGTTTGATTAAAGCCTATTTTAAAAAAGAAAAAGGATGCAACAAAAATTGGTGTCTGTGGGTCTCGAAAGCAGCATAATATTGATGTATGAAGCAATCATCAGGCTTTTTGAAGAGTCCAAAACAGAGTACTTACTAGATACCTATTTAGTCATCATCCTCAAAACAATGCTGACAATCCATGGGTTCTAATTTAAGCTTCAAATTTTATTCCAAATTAATCCTTTTGAGTTTTTGTTCTTTATGCTTCAGGGACCCCACCTGGTTTTGTAAAGGGCAACAACTTTGAATCCAGAGGAGGAGGGAGAAACATGCATTCATCGTTTCATTACCAGGCACAGAGCCCAGGCTGAGCTGGCCTTACTCAGAATAATGAAATGGGCAAAGATTATTCCCTTTTTTAAAAAATTTCATTTCGTTTGGTTCAGTTATGACTTCAGGCTTACATACATTCAGGTTAAAAGGGAGATTTCTTCCCTTTTGTGCCTCTTTTCATTGCTTTTATTCATTCAGTCAACAAATATTATTAAATGCCTCCTATGTGTCAGATTATTCCAGGTGCTGAAGATAAATCAACAGACAGAAAGAAAAAGCCTATGGCTTTTTTGAGCTAACAGTCTAGTAAAGACGGAAGAGTCAATAAACAAATAGATGTCAAATAGTGATAAGTACTATGAAGAAAAACTGAACAAAGATGTGAATACAGGTTGATCTTATAGTTTATTTAATTTATAACTTTTTAAACTATGTGGGACTTATTTTTGTGCGAAGTGCAGACTGAAGATCCAACAGTGTTTCCAAATAGTTGACAAATTGTCCTGCTATTGTTTGTTAAATAGTCCCCACTTTTCCCCCCTACTTCCAAAGCTGTTTTTTTTTTTTTAATACATTGGATCATTTACACTGGGATGCAACTCTAGATTTGCCTTTTATATCCACCACCAGTACCACATTCTTTGGATAAGTGTGCTCTCTGGAACATTTTGACACACAGCAGAGAAAGTCCTCTTTCTTTAACTTTCTACACAATTACCTTGGCTAGTATTTCTAGTTTATTCTTGCAGGCCAGTTTTTAAAACTCTATCATAACATGACATGATTTTGATTGGAATTGCATTAAAACTGTAAATTACTTTGAGAAGATTCACATCTTTATGGTATTCAGTTTTTTAAAATCTAATACCATGCCTCTACATTTATTAATCTTTACTTCTCTGTTTTTGCTTTTATTTTTTAAGATTTTATTTATTTGACAGAGAGAGAGTATAAGCAGAGGGAGGGGCAGAGAGAGAGGGAGAAGCAGGCTCCCCGCTGAGCAGGGAGCCAGATGTGGGGATGTGGGACTTGATCCCAGGACCCTGAGATCATGACCTAAGCTGAAGACAGATGCTTAACCAACTGAGCCACCAAGGTGTCCCTGGTTTTGCTTTTAAATAGTTTTTCAGCATCAAAAATTTTTAATATGTTTTTAACATAGCCACAATCTAATCTTTAGATGATATATTTGGATCAAAAATGCACTTGGTTTTAAAAAATCATTTTCTATTGTTTGTTTCACGTAAATAAATACTCTCCTCTTATATTTTCATTACTTATCTAAGCTTTACAAAGTTCCTGAGAATCTTAATGGTTTATGGGGAGTTCAGTAGAAAAATCCTGATTTTACTTAGCAATCCCAGTATATCTCAACAAAAAGATGAAGCTTATAAAGAATGATCTCATATTTTTTTTTACCTCTCTGAGTATGTTCCAGTAACCAATGTTACTATTTTTAATCAGTTTTATTCCTTTTTGTTTTATTGTCCCTTTTGTTTTATTCCTTCTGAAAAACAACTGCTGTTAATAGAAATCTGCCTGCATCAGTTATTTATAATACAGGCTTCCTTCATTAAGAACAATGAAACTTTATTGAGTGACCTTGTACCGTACCGCTCAAAAAGGATTACTGCTGCTAAGCAACAAGAGCGTTGATCAGACTTCAGGAGTATCAGGTGTATGACTCACTTCCAGGTGAGGGTTTCATTAACTCACCCTGGAAACTGGTGTGCGTGTGTGTGCGCGCATGCACACGCTAGAAGTCACCAGTATTTTAGCCTATAGGGGTTCCCCATCTATTTGATTCAAGATGAATCAAGCATTTCCTGGGCTTGACTTCATACTATCATAGAGTTTCAAAACCACCACCGAAAAGGAAAGCCACCATTAAAAAGCTAAGTGGCATATTTGCAAAAACCAGCCTTGAACTCTGAATTCAGAGCCTTCCTCAAAAAACATGGGGCATACTATAACACTATATGTTAATTATACTTCAATAAAAGAAAGGAAGGGGGAAAAGTTTCTTAATAGTGCAGTGTTTTCAACCTGTGACAGAATTATTGCTCCCTGAGAAGCTGAAGACTATGAACACCATTCAACATATTAAAACTGTAATACCTACTGCTCCGAGGTAAATCTATGAAGGAAATGTTTGCTACTATGATAGCAAATGACTCCCAGACTTCTTGTTTCAGTGGGTTTTGCTCTTTGGTTTTTTAAGGAGAGGGATTATTTTAGGAACTGCCATTAGGGATGCAAGCAAGGGTGAGAGAGAGGATGAGAGAAAACTAAACCCATAGTCTATTTGCACTTGCGTTTTGTAGAAGCAGCAAATATTTTTAACATCCAACTGGTTTGAAGGATATAAGCTAAGGAAAAAAAGTTCAATTCTTTACATTGGGCAATTTTAGTTTTCCTTTCATTTTTCTCATTTCACTGTGGACCAGTGAAATGTTTGTCAGAGACCAGAGCTGGTCTGTGAGTAGCATTTGAAAACCAGCACTGAAGCCTGTGAGGTTTGGGACTTGCACCATCTGACCAGGAAGCCCCCTGATGGTGGTGAGTGTAACGTTCTCATTGTAGAACAACAGGTTCCATGTTCTGATTAGATCCCCAAGAACTGAATCCCTACTTTTGAGAGTCCTATTACCCTCAAAGAGTGTTGATCATGGCAGATAATATGGACAAAGACTTAGATGGTGTTATAGTTGTGTGTGTGTGTGTGATCGATGTTTGGAGAAGAAGAGACAGACTGCATGTCAGCACTTACCACTATAACTACTATATTTGAGGCACCCTACTCTGTGTTTGAATGGATTATGGGGTCTCTATCTCACGAATAAAGACTCAGACAGGACCGAGGGTAGGAATCGGGAGACAGACCCACTGGCACTTGGATTTTGTAATTGACTCTTCCTTCCTGCATTACAATACCCTCAGTTTGGAAAGAAAGGCTTATACAAGAGAGAGACACACCCAGAACAAATTATCTGAACTCAGTACTAAAGCAAAGGTGCTTAGCCAGCTCATGGAACTAGTCAATATCGGCACAGCAAGGAAATTTGAGATCGTCATTTGACGAATAAGGAAACAAGTCCAATGAAGTAAATTTTATTCAAGATTATGTGGCTGGTTTGTGGTTAGACCAGTAATAGAACTCAAGTCAGTACAATTTCCACTGTAGCATAAATCAGCCTTACTAACAGCTGTTGTTACTGTACTGGCTGAGTGTCCATATTAATATGTTGAAATTTGCAAAAAAGCTAAGTCAGTAAAAGGATTAACCATCTACAACGTCCCTTTGAGCATCAACTTCTCTTAGAGTATACAAAATCTACTTCTATTTATAAAAATGTTACTGAATGCAAGTTTTAAATCATGTATTGCTCATATGCAGTGAAATTCAGTATATTAAAAATATATACCATCTTGAATTCCATCTTGAAACTTACATTGGTCTTATAGTATACGTTATTTTGGTTCATTTAGATATATGCCTTAAATGATCACCCCCTTCCCTTTAAAAAGAAAAAAAAGACTCAGAATTTTCATTTTAGGTTAGATGAACAAAATAAAAAGTGTGTCCATTCTCCACACACATATACATTTTCTCTTCTGTTTTGGAATGAACGGTAGAGTTTAATTCCAAAAAGTGCTTCGTACATCTTTTTCGAATTAGTGGCATTGAAGTTAGACATGGAGGCACAACATTTCGCCTGTGTGGGCTATATACTTCCACTGTTTACATGAAGATATGGATTTCTAACGAGAGAGAAGAGGCTTAAAGAGAAAAGGCTCAAAATGGCATGAAACCAGTACTCAGCTTCGATGAAATCACTGCTTCTCCCCAGGGCTATGTCTGTGGAAGACATTCCCTCATTTCCTGCATTCCATCATTTTCGTTTCAGTTAATAAACAGCCAAAGAATCACACAACTTCATACAATTTTCATTATATTTCATTTCCCCCCTACTGTGGCCTTTTGTGGTTGAAATACATATCCTATTTATCATGGACGCAACGGAGAAAAATGTCCCTGTCTGTCAGACAACTTTTGGTGTAAAGAGATGGAAGAGAGCCCAGAACTCTGTTTTCCAGGCCGCAGGGCTGATGCCAGCCCCTTTAAAAAGGCCACCACAGAACAGTAGTGGAAGAAACAGAAAGGGCATAGATCCGGGCCTGCGTGCTACTGTCTGGGCCTCTCCTCCTCAAGCTGGGGCACTGAAGATGCAAAAGGAAATAACTGAGAGAACATTTAGAGATAAGAAGTTGCTATACATCGTGCTTTAGAGCGTTAAATTATACAAAATAATAATCTCCCCTTCAACATAAAGAGTAGGGGGATGGAATGTTCTAGAATTGAGAATCATTGTACATACCACATACAGATTACCTATTCTAACAGAATGACAATAGTGCAAAAAAATCTTATTAAAATATATTGAACATAACTTCATTTTTAAATTTTACTGTTCAGAAAAAACTCTAGCCATGCGCCATGCTTGTGGCAATGATCATGACACAGGGCTGATGGCAGGTAGAAGGCTAGGTTATGCTACTTAGTTAAGCCTCCTTTCTGCGGTTTGTATTTTAGGTAGGAGATTATATTTGTAGCAAAGTAACAAAAAGCTGTGGTCAAAAAAGACCTGTAAAATAGCTGATGAGATGAAGAAATGAAAGTCAGAATAATGAACAAATAAATAAAAGGACTGGCTTACTGGCTACCCTGATGAGAAAGAAACTTGCAGGTTGATTTGGTTGGTTGGTTGATTGGTTAGTGATTTGGGTAGTTTAGGTGTAAAGAATTAAGTGAATCATATTCTTCTATCCACAGCACCATGTCATGTGCTTGCAAAGCCTTTGTATCATTTATACTACATTTATATTGTTTTACATTATTATATCTTTCATGTTATATATTTCTATTATTATTATCTATATTATTTATATGACTTCACTTTATTTTTCCTGCATCCCCCACTGTGACACCATTGTCCTCCTCTTTCCCATAGGTATATAATCTAATAAGTTTGATGCTTAGCATAGCAGTATAAGCCTCATTCCAAAGGCAATCTTCCTTAGTTCCAATGTCAACTCTACCGCTTACCACTTACTCTGTATGACCTTCAGCAAGTTATTAAATGTTGTTGTGCCTCCCTATCTTTGTGTAACATGGAGATAATAGTAATACCTACTGCAGAGATATTTGTGAAGATTAAATGAATTAATATGAGTTAAGCATTTAGAACAATTCTTGTTCAAATAGTAAGCAGTATATGCTAGGTATTACATATTTTTTTGGAAAAAGGCATTTTTTTCTGTGTATCCATAAACACTAAATTTATATAAATTTCATTGTTCTATAGATCTTCCTATAAAGGTAATCGTGTGATTTTTTTGTTTAGTACTTCTTTTTCCTTTAGCATTTTACCGTGTTAAACTGCATTGATAGAAACAATATCCAAGAGCCCAAGTGTCCATAGACTGACGAATGGATAAAGAATAGGTGCTGTGTATATATAATGGAATATTACTCAGCCATAAACAAGAATGAAATATTGCCATTTGCAGTGATGTGGATGGAGCTAGAAAGTATTATGCTGAGCAAAATAAGTCAGTCAGGGAAAGACAAATACCATATGATTTCACTCATATGTGGAATTTAAGAAACAAAACAAATGATCATAAGGGGAAAAAAAGAGAGGAAAACCAAGAAACAGACTCTTAACTATAGAGAACAAACTGATGGTTACCAGAGAAGAGGTGGGTGGGGGAATGGGGGAAATAGGTCATGGGGATTAAGGAAGGCACTTGTGATGAGCACCAGGTGTATAACTAACTGGAATTTAAATAAAAACAAAAAAATGCATTGATAGATTTTATTTTATATTTTTTTATGTTATGTTAATCACCATACATTGCATCATTAGTTTTTGATGTAGTGTTCCATGATTCATTGTTTGTGTATAACACCCAGTGCTCCATGCAGAACGTGCCCTCTTTAATACCCATCACCAGGCTAACCCATCCCACAGAACCTCCTCCCCTCTAGAACCCCCTCCCCTCTAGAACCCTGTTTGTTTTTCAGAGTCCATAGTCTCTCATGGTTCATCTCCCCCTCCGATTTCCCCCCCTTCATTTTCCCCTCCTGCTATCTTCTTCTTCTTTTTTTTTAAAAAAAAAAAACATATAATGTATTATTTGTTTCAAAGGTACAGGTCTGTGATTCAACAGTCTTACACAATTCACAGCACTCACCATAGCACATACCCTCCCCAATGTCTATCACCCAGCCACCCCATCCCTCCCACCCCCCACCACTCCAGCAACCCTCAGTTTGTTTCCTGGGATTAAGAATTCCTCATATCAGTGAGGTCATATGATACATGTCTTTCTCTGATTGACTTATTTCACTCAGCATAATACCCTCCAGTTCCATCCACGTAGTTGCAAATGGCTCCTCCTCCTCGCATTGATAGATTTTAAACACTCTTTGAATTTCTGAAATAAACCCTAACTGATCGTGATGTACTTTTCTTGTTACACTAATTGGATTCAATTGGATAATATTTTATTTAGGATTTATGAATCTATGTTCAAGAACGAAGTGACCTTACAATTGTCTTTTCTTTTTTCTCTTATTACTCTTGTAATACTTCTTATTAGAGTCAGCATAATGCCCCACAAAAGGAATCGGATGACTATCCTTCCTCTATTTTCTAGAACAACTTGTTTAATATTTATAGAAATCTCCTTTAAAACCAATTGGAAGCAGTTGCTTTTTATGATCAGAAGAGATCTACAATTAACATCTAAGTTACTTACTAGTTACTGACCGAGTTAAGTGTTCTAGTTCTCACTGCACCCATCCATGCATTTTTTAATCCGAGAATTTATCAGGGTTTGAAATTTGTTGGTATACAGTTCATAATATTATTTTATTTTCATTTCATCAGAATATGTAGTTATTTCTTCTTTTATGCAAAATTGTGTTTGATTGCTCCTTCTCTTTTAATTTACAAGTCAGTATTGCCAGATTTTTATCTCTATTCCGCACCTCTTTTTAAAAATCCTTCCAAGCCCCATGCTTTGGTTCTCTTAAACTTGGGTAATTGTTTCTTCTATGATTTTCTTTTACTTCTTTCCTCATATCTTTTTGGATTTATTCTATGCTCCTCTTCTAATTTGAGTTGAATACTTAAGTCACTTCTCTTCTTTCTTATGATGTCATCTTCAGGAGTAAGACAACTACATTAGCTCACTCAAATCTGCCTCTTGTCTCTCCCCTCCCCCCCATATATTGGTATCATCTAGAATTGTAATTCTTGATTGCTTTCTATGTGGTTTGATTGCTTTGTTTTACTCCATTGGGATCTCAAATCCAGTTTTGCTGGTGAGAAGTCTAATGTCAATCTGAGCCACGTTCTTCTGTAGGTGATGTGCTTTTTTTCATAGATCCTATAAAATTTTTCTTTATCATTGATATCCCTAAATTTTGCTGTGATTGTTTTATATATGGGACTTTTTTCCTGGTGTGTCCTTTTGATCTGAACTGTTTTAAGGCCTTTCATCCTGGGAAATTCTCAGTTATTATAGCTTCAAATATTTTCAGCCCCTGTGTATTTTATTCTCTTTGAGGCTCATTTTATAAGAGATAATAACATGTCTATTTCTATTATCCATCTCTCTTATATTTTACTTTTACATTTTTCTTCTTCTTATCATATACTGATGCCTTCTGGAAGAGTTCCTCAAGCTGACCTTCACTGGCTCGGTCAATCATTTATTGAGCTCGGTATTTCAACTGTTCTAGTTTTCATACAGAGCAGGACCAGTTAGTAATTATTTTAACCCCTGGTTTCCATTTCATGTGGTGAAAGGCACACTCAGACCACCCAAAGTTCTTGCATCTGCTGACTTCTACTCACCCCAGTAGAGTTTGGGGACCACTCTGATATTAACCTACTAGCCTACAGCTGGTACTGCACAGTTGTCATTTTTCTACCTTGAAGAGGGAACATGAGCAGGAGAACTCTCCTTTGTTGCATCTTCCTCCATGTGGCCCAGCCCTCTTCCACTTTCCTCACACCCCCCAAACATGTGACCCAACAGCCTTCTACCACCATGAGGGTTTCTTATAGCTTTACATGCTCATTTTTCACATGGATGGCTATCCACTTCCCCTGTTGTCAAATATATTTCCAAGTTTGAGTTCTTGAAGGAAATGAACAGCTCCTGCTTGTATGTCATCTTGTCAAGAACAATCATTACCAGTGATTTCCTGAAACTGGATTTTAGGGGTATCAAGGTAGCATGCATTTTGTGGGAATCACTTTCTCAGTCTAGGATGTAGAGGTCTTATTTTAGACACCAGGAAGCTGGCCTCATAGGAGAATAAAATGAGCAAAGAGACATGGAGATTCTCCCATGCTATACCCTGAAAGTCTGTGGCCCCCTCATGAGAACCTGGACTTCCAGGAGCTCAGAGAGCTGGCACATTCTTGCATGTCCATCCTCTCCTGCCCAGGATGCACATTTCCTTATGTGATACAAACAGACATACTTCTGGGACTACTTTGTAATTTAAGGATCAAATAAAATCATGCACTGATTTACTTTTTTACCTTCTTTTTTTGCTCATTCTCTCAGAATCAACTTACCGACACCAAGCAACCATTGATGATGAAGTTGTCACCATGGAGATACTAGATACTGCTGGTCAGGTGAATAAGGGTTTCAGCTAAAATGTTTTCTGGATCAAATAAATATGAGATGAGTACATGCATACTATGAAAAAAATTAAGACATTTTCCTCCAATTAACTAATAATGTCTAAAGACTTTTTTCTTTAATTATCTAGTTATTTACATACTAACATTTGAAACAGCTTATGTATGCATCCTTATATAAATTACCCAGTACTTCGGTGGGGTCGGGGGAGGATTGCTGATACTGTAATATTGACATGACATCATCTAGAATAGAATTACCCACATATATTTTGGGGGGATGGCAAAATATTAAGAGGTTCATGGTTAAGTATTTTGAAATGCTCTGATCGAGTTAAACAGGTATTTTTACTGGGGAGGTCCTCAGAGCCTTATATGCCTATGTATAAGATGAATCCTTAAGAGTTTCATATATAGTATATTCTAAACTTACATCACCTCAGAATTGCTTTTCAGAATGCTTTATTTCAGGAATCTCTCTAATATTCTTTCCAGACCTCAACACATCCTTTTGAAAATTTGAGCCACATAATTGTACAACAAACAATCCATTAAAAAGGAAGCTAATATAAATTTGCCCTATGTCAGTCAGTTCTGAGATTACAGATAGGTTTGCAGAAAGGCTTAGTTCTCAAGAATAAAATGACACTAGGAATGAAAATTAGGAAGCTGAAGGGTTGCATGGTGCTCTGTCAGTGACCTATGATCCAAAGAAGACTTGAATTTAAGTATTTAATCCAAGAAATGTTCTTGCAGCTAGCTAGACACTTATTTCTCATCATCACCTCCTTCTTATATATGCTTTCCCGGCCACACAGCCCTGATTCTAGAGAGAGGTGGCAGGGACTTATATGCAAAGGTTATTTGAGCCCATGGGAGCAATGCATTTTCAAATCTCGCATGCTACTTTCCTAGGAAGGAATGATCACCCCCTTTGAAAATCACTTCAAATGAGTTTCTATCATTATTGCGACTGTATAATATTTTGGAGGTGTTAAGATAGGAAAAAAAAAGCCAAAAGCTCCTGACTTTGAGTTTGACTCTCTCTACAATTTTTCACTGTTTTTGTGTCCCTGGTGCCCAATTGTCTAGAATCTGAAGGCAAAAGAGATTAAAGCAAAAAATGAAATCAAAACCATTCACCAAGCTGTGCCCCTAAATCTGATCCCTAAAGAGTGGCATAAGGCCTACTTGTCTGTTACCTATTTGCCAATTCTTTGATTGTGATGAAAGCCTGGGAGGCAGTGTGCTCCACTAAGATAATTTCTTTATAGTTCTTGTAATTACGGATTTAATGATATGGCAAGAAGAAAATTAGAAGCAGAAAGTTAAAGGTCTATGTAGTTAGAACATTTTTAGTTCCCCGACATATCCTGCTATGAGTAAGTAATGCTCCTATTCCAAACTGATTGAGAAAGGAAGCCTGTGTAGGCAGACTATCAAGAAATTTTAATGACAACGAATATAAAGAATAGTAATTAAGGACTCACTACTGGCATGAGCAACATCTGATAACTTCCAGTTCCCCAACTGCCATTGTTTCCTTGTCAACAGGAAGATACCATTCAGAGGGAAGGACACATGCGATGGGGGGAAGGCTTTGTGCTGGTCTATGACATTACTGACCGAGGAAGTTTTGAAGAAGTGCTGCCACTTAAGAACATCCTGGATGAGATCAAAAAGCCCAAGAATGTGACTCTCATCTTGGTTGGAAACAAAGCTGACTTGGACCACTCCAGACAGGTTAGTACGGAAGAAGGGGAGAAGCTGGCTACTGAATTGGCATGTGCTTTTTATGAGTGTTCTGCCTGCACTGGAGAAGGGAACATCACTGAGATATTCTATGAGCTGTGTCGAGAGGTGCGTCGCAGGAGGATGGTCCAGGGCAAGACGAGGCGACGCAGCTCCACCACGCACGTCAAACAAGCCATTAACAAGATGCTTACCAAAATCAGTAGTTAGGTGGCTCTGTTCTTGCAAAAGCCCTACTGAGGTGGGTCGGGTAATTGGAAACACTTTCTCGCCCTTTACTCCCGTTGGCCCCCCCAAAATAAAAGAAAATACTCCATTCCTTGTTCTGACTCTGGGAAATGTCTGGGCTTCCGATTATTCCCAGGTCTCCCATATGTTGAGAAGTTATAGAGTGTTTTATGCAATTTTAGTGCTGACAATTTCTCCCTTTCCTGCTTGAATAAGATGCACTCTATTGCAGTTTGAACCTATAATCACCAGAGATTCTGAAATGGCTGGGTTCGTATTAAGCTATTCTTAGGCATCCTCACCTTGCTTCAAGACCTTTCTAAGGCATCTTGAAATTTCATTCCTTGTCAAAGACTTCAAATGATCATCTTAAAAGTGGAAGGTAATAGAAAATACAGTAAAAACCCAGGAAAAGCCGCTGAGATACTGGAGCAGGGAGTAGAGCCCTAGTTCCTCTTTGAATTGAGGATTTTCATAATTATCTCAAATTGTCTAGCTTTTCTTTAACCCTTATTTTGTTCTTGAATTCAAACGTGTTGTCACAAAGTTTTCCACTGTAGTAGAGTTCCCTTTCAATTCGAGTGGGTTCTCTCAATGAGCTCTTGATCCTTGTACTCTGATTCTTCTTCTGTGGCTTCAGTAAAGTTTCACTATAAGAGAGGCAGAAGGATCCTTCAATTCAGATCCTGCTGGGCCATTTCTCACCAAGCCCAGGGTCATGTAAAGACATTAGGAGTCTTTTCACCAAATCCTGACTTCACTGAATGCTAACAGAGGATTTAGAATCGGAGATGTCTGATTCATTTCTCTCTCTCTCTGCTTATCATCTTAGCAGAAAGACAACAGTCCAAAAAAAACAGGAAAATTAAGAATGAAGCTGAGCTACCCTTCCATTGGGGAGCCAAGGCTCTAATGCCAGGCACAGTAAGAAAAAGTAGCCTCTGATTCATTAAATTGGCTAAATGACTTCTAGTTTGGATAAATTAATTCACTTAGAATTCAGAAAAGAATGTGTGATTGAAGTTCACTATCCCTGAATAAATGTGTATAAAACAGATTCCTATATTGTGAAAGTACAGTCTGTAACTGATAAAACTTTATGATTTTTTTTCCCTCTTATGCCCCCATATATCAAGATTTGGGCACTTTATTTTAGAAGAAAATATATATCTTTTACATATGTGTGTATTTATAAATGCATAGATATATGTGTAAAAATTTGTAAGAGCTGGAAGCTTTAATTCACCAATGCATTTGGATAAATTGATGTAATTATTTTATGTGATATAATAAAAAGCATAATTTTCACATTCTGTCACATTCGAGCAGTCTTTCTTGTGATAGCGTGAAAAGGTTGTAACTTTAGGAGAAACTTGAGTAGACAGTCAAGTTGTAGAGTTGACAAAGCAGTGAATGCGATATAAAAAATAAGCTCCTGTTCATATAATAGCTATTTTTGTAAAATGCTTAGGTGTTATTTTAGGCACTTTATGTATTATCTCATTGAATCCTCAAATACCCTGCACAAGTGATACTGCTATGATCACAACTGCAGGGATGAAGATATTGAGCTACAAGGAAAAGTGACTGCACAGCTATTTAGTGGTTAGAGCCAGGATTTGAACCCAGAGAGGCAGTGAGACTGTAGAGCCCATACTATTATCCAATGCAGTATATTAGTAGACTGACATAAAGCCCTTGTTCTGGAGCTATGGGGATGAAGACACAGGAAGGAGAAAATTTAGGAAAGATTTGCTTCAATTATGCTTTCATTCATTCATTAGGAAATATTTATATATAAGTTGGGCATATAAATTAACACAATTTAGTACATTCGATAGTGTCTTAGCTGAACATTGAAGAATACATACAAGTAACCCAGGAAAGAAAGATGGTGAGAATATTATAGCCAAAAGGAATAGCATGGAACCAAAATACGGAAACATGAAAGGTGATCGTGAGTGTAGTAATTAAAAGCAGTTGAGAGAGACATTTATATCATTCTTCAGGACAAAAACAAAACAAAACAAAACAAAAACAAAAACAAAAAACCAGAAGATAGAGCAGAGGAAAGGAATTAAAAGAAAGAGAAAAATAAGGCACTTGGAAGTAAGAAAAATGTCAAAAATTCATAAAACTGCCAATTTAGGTAATTACATATTAAAGGACCAAGAAGATAATTTGGCTATGATTCATTTTCAGTAATGTCCATCTAGATATGGTATGGAAGGGGAAAGGGAAGTAAAAATATTTTTTAAATGTTGCCACCTTCCAGAATCACAGCCTCTTTCACTGTCTGATACCTATACTTGCAGATGAACCTCAGCCAGTTCTTATAAAGAGCAAGCTCCTAAGGAAGCGTAGTGAAAAACCTGGGTGCCATTTTGGGTCAAACACTAAGGAAGTGAAATTCACAGTCAACAACACCAGCAACTTCCCTAGACATATACATACAAATCCAGACCTGTTAAAAATTCAAAGAACCACTGGCATACGTGCCAACGGATAATTACAGAAGAACATGAGATTTCACAAATATAAATTAGTTATTCCTCTCATGCCCCAGGCTTCTCCACAAATGAAGTTTATAAATAAGTTGGGTTTTTTAATAGAATATTTTAATGATGGAAACCTGTGTGTTCTTGAATAATAATGGGTTGTTATCACCATACTACCACTACCAACACTTGCTGTTTGTAGTTGGTTTTCTTTTCATCCAAGATTCAAAAAACGTTATTTCTAAATATTGGGTTTGTATTCATATGCCTCACAGCACCGAGGGAAAGAACCATAATTCAGGATCTTCCTTTCAAATAACATATGTAATACTTACATGTACATAGATAAACACAATACTTGATGTTCAACGTATAGTACCAAATAAGATTTCTTCTTAAACCAGCGTGTGTCCACTTTGAGGATTATAAGAAAGTGGCCAGTTCATTGGGCCAGATTTAATCAGAGTAATGTTGAATTGTCCTGAGCTAAGAACTTATTGGGGGATTCTGAGGGGGAAAAAATGACATAAATATATTTTCTCCATAGATTTGAAATGCTATGTTTAGCATACATATATGTCTGGTTTTGAACTGTCCATTCCGTTTCGTTGGTCTATTTGTCTATTCATGCTCTCAAGCCATGATATTTAAAAATTGAGCCTGATAATATGTTAAAAGAGCTTCTATTAGGTGAACATAATTAAGAATAAATTTTTAGGTTTGGGTATTACTAAGCCTTGATACTATACAACTGTTTTTTCTAAAATGGAATTTGAAGGAAAGTTTGCTGTTTATGCTTGGAAACCAGTACCCATTTTTTTTCAGCTTTATTGAGATGTAATTGACATATAACATTGTGTAAGTTTAAGGTATACAACACGAGGATGTGATACGTGTATATATTGTGACATGATTACCATAATGACGTTCATTAACATAGTCATCACCTCACATAATTACCTTTTTTTTTGTGGTGAGAGTATACAAGATTTAGTCTCTCAACAACTTTCAAGTATATATAATACAACATTGTTAACAATAGTGACCATGCGGAATGTTAGATCCCCAGAACTTACTCATCTTATAATTGGAAGTTTGGAGATTTTCACCAACATCTCCCCATCTCCCCCACCCCTGACAACCATTATTCTATAATCTGTTTCTGTGACTTTTTTTTTTAGTTTTCACATATCAGTGAGATCATATAACATACGCCTTTCTCTATATGACTTATTTAATTTAGCCTAATACCCTCAAAGTCTACCTATGTTATCACAAAGGACAAGATTTCTTCCTTTTTTCTGGCTAAATAATATTCAAATATGTGTATGTATGTATCTATCTCACTTTTTTAAAAAATCTATTTATCCATTGATGAACACTTGTTTCCACATCTTGGCTATTGTAAATAATGCTGCAATGAACATGATGGTCCAGCTATCTCCTTGAGATAATGATTTCATTTCCTTCTGATATATACCCAGAAATGGGATTGCTGGATTCCCTGCTGTTTTCTATATTGGTTGTACCAACTTACATTCCCACCAACAGTGCACTAGGGTTTCTTTCTCCACATCCTCACCAATACTTGTTGTCTCTTGTCTTTTGGACAATACCATTCCAACAGGTATGAGGTGATATCTCATTGTGGCTTTTAGTTGCATTTCCCTGATAATTAGTGATGTTGAGCATCTTTTCATGTGCCTGTTGCCCATCTGTATGTTTTTTGGAAATTTTTCTATTCAGGCCCTTTACCCATTTTTTATTTGGATTATTATTTATTATTATTATTTTTGCTATTGAGTTCTATGAGTTCCTTATATATTTTGGATGTTAACCCTTTATCTAATTTTTGTCTTGCAAATATTTTTTTTCCCATTCCATAGGTTGCTGCTTGTTTCTGTTGTTACTTTTGCTGTAGAGAAGCTTTTTAATTTCATGTACTCCCACTTGTTTATTTTTGCTTTTGTTGCTTGTGCTTTTGGTATCATATCCAAAAATTCATTGCCAAGATCAATGTCAAAGAGTTTTCTCTATGTTTTCCTCTAGAAGATTAATGGTTTCAGGTCTTACATTTAAGTTTTTAATCCATTTCAAGTTATTTTTATAAGTGCTGTAAAATAGGGATTCAATTTCACTCCTTTGCATGTGAATTATCTAGTCTCTCCAACATTATTTATTAAAAAGATTTCTGCATTTAGGGACCTTCTATAATCTCTGGGGGCCCAGATTGGAATTTATCCTGCCTGGTTCCTTGCCAGCTCC